AGGTCCAAAGTTGAAAACTGATGACCACCCGAGAGAGATGCGTACAGATCCTCGATGCGCGGGAGAGGATAGGGGTTCAGTTTAGTTGCTGAGTTGATTGTCAGCTTGTAGTCGCCACAGATACGCACAGAACCATCGGTTTTAAGAACAGGAACTATTGGGGCTGCCCATTCCGAATATTGCACGGGCTCAATAATATCCGCTTTCTGTAGGCGATCCAGCTCTTCTTCGACCTTCGGTGCGACTGCATAGGGGACTGTACGAGCTTTGAAGAACCGGGGCCGGAAATCTGACTGAAACTGGAACTTAACAGGTGGACCGCGGTAGTGGGTAGTAGAATCGTCACGAAATAGATCCTTATGATTTACCAAAATTGAATCTAAAGCCGGATTTACACCAATCCGATGTACATAGGATAGCACCGAAGGCACACATTTAATCCAATTCCGTCCAAGGAGATTTGGTTGCTGGCTTCCTCTCACCACATGAACCGGCAAGTAATGAAGTTCTCCATCATGCTCGACTTCGGCTGTAAAGACCCCTCGAACCTCTACGTTCTGTCCAGTGTAACTACGGAATGTTGAGCTGGCCGGAAGGAGGGAGGGTAATTTCGGAAGGGAGGCCTCATTGATGAGAGTAACAGCTGAGCCAGTGTCGATTTCAAACTTCACGGGATGGTGATCAACCGGAAGCGTGATGGTGTAGGGCGATTGGAGCGGCGCGTTGGCCGAAAACATTCGGAGTATCGCCTCGCCATCCCCAGCTGGATTAGGGTAGGTTGCGTGCGTGTTAGTATTCGCTCGTCTTTTGGAGAAACACACTCGTTCGATGTGGCCGACTTTCTTGCAAAACTGGCATACCGTCTTCTGGTGTCTACAGTCTGACCACCGGATATGATGCTGACCACAACGGTAGCAGGAAGGTAGTTGTTTTGAGGGAGCTGAGGGTCGCTGATTAGGTGAAGACACAGCAGTGTTGACTAGGGAGACAGCCATTTCAGATTCCAAGGATGCTATCACTCCATCATTTGAGCAAACAAATGACGGTCCGTGAGTTTGTCAAACGACAGTTGAGGTCGTTATTTGCCAATTTCCTCCTACCGGGATTCAACTTGAACGGGAGATATTCGAAACGCAACTTCCGCCAGACCAACACTTTCATGATGCTTCAAGGTAGGCACAAGTTAACGCATACTACTTCACTTCTATTTAGATGTATACAATGGGTGGAGCGCTGGTCGGCCGTTTACCCTGCTGGATTTCGAGAAGTCCGTACGCAGCATACTGAAATCCGCGGTGACCGCCGCCTCTGTGCATCGTCGACGACAGAGCGATCCAGAATAACAGAGCACGGACCCCAATTATCCCCCTTCTATATCTGTTTTGCTTTTAATATAAATAAATTGCACAGTACGCCCACGTGTTGGTTCGATCAAAATAATGGGGCATAGGTCTACATGACGGGGCTGAGGTCGTTAGAGTTAGGGAAGGGTAGACGTCAAAATGGTTGGGGATAGACGGGCACCGATAGTTCTTCGAGGATTACGGTTGGAAATATGCCAAGTTATTTCCATAGCCATCGCATTTAGTCGATTAGGCCCCTGCAGTTGGGGCCCGCGATGTGTGCGGTTGATGCGGGTGCGAGGGATCTACGCTGATGCCCCAAAGTGCACTAGTAGTAGGTGGAGGATTTAATTCGTGACGTCAATATGGTTGCGGATAGACGGGCGCCGATAGGTATGCGATGATAACGGTTGGACAGGAAAGCACTGAGGCTATCAGTGGTTAATTGGGCATCAAATGTAGGATTTCCGAAAGCGTCTCGGAGGGTGGGATGCTGCGTCTTTCAGTGAGTTCGTACTTTTCTAGAGAACTGTGCGACCGCATCCTTACAGCTGGCAAGATAGACTGACAACCAGCAACTAGTGCACACCTAAATTTACCTAACTACCGTTGGCGGCCACATCAATGTGCATTTATTCATTCACTTGCTCCTGTGGAGCAGGATACATCGGCCGCACAACGAGACGCCTGGTAAAG